GCAATGCTGCGACACTGTTGTCTCATGCTAAGCTGGTTATTCACTGTGATCTCACAACATCTTCATGCCCTGTCCACTGGAATTCCAAAGGGTAGCAAGACAGACCTTGGAAGGTACAGCTCATGCAACAAATGGCCAATAAAGCTGTTCTGTCTGCTCAGGAGCAAAGATAAGGTAGGAAAAGATGTGGACTGCTGGCTGGCCAATTTTTTGTATTACTCCAGGTCTGTTTTGCTTTATGGTGCAATGACCGGGTTAAGGGGAAGTGTAGAAGGAGAGTATAGGAAGAACAAAAAACATCTGTGGAACATAGCCATTTGTTGGTAAACTGTTGTCTTCTGGCCTATCTGCTCTTCATCAAATCATTATTGTCTTTTTTGATTTTTTGACAATATTCTGCTCTAATTGAGGAGAAGTGATTTGAAGGGACAGGCTAACTTAAAAGCAAAACAAACAACAACAACAAAACAAAACAAAACAAAAAAACCTGCATGCATCAAACTCCATGCAGAGTCCAGTGACAGGTCAGGAGATTGAGGTGTCATCTCAGCAAGTACCGTGGCAGCAGCTGTAGTGGAGAGCTTTGGATAGCTTCCCTGTTCGCTTACATTTGATCTGACCTGGACTTTTTTCCTCTTCTAATGAAGGTCCCTGTCACATATTAAATTGGTATTGCTCTCTGCAATTAGTAGCCCCTAGATTTGGCAGAGTACTTGTGAGTTGATTTTCTTTGTTTGTTTTCAGAGAGAGCAGGCTTGAGGACAGCACAGCAGAATGCATAGTGACTGTGGAGTTGAAGTCTAGTTTTACTTCCTCTGACACACTCATTTTCCTGACAAAGGGGACTACTTCTTAAGCAATGAATGGAGCAAAATCTGAAAAAATAAAAACGAAACACTGCTCAGAAACACTGGGTGATCACACTTAGGTGAACTGCTTTCTGGAAAGGAAGGAACTGATCTGTGGGCTTTGCTTTACTTGTGACAACTTCTTTAGTGTACAGATGTATAAATTCACCATATTTTGAAAAATTGTGGTGCTTGATATTCAGCTGCTGTTGAGTCATCCCCTTGCTTACGTTTGGTTGCGTGTTCAGGTTCCACTGCTTAATCCTCTACATATACATACATTGCTTAGAGCACAAAGGAAGGTTTCAGCTATTCCTCCTGGGTATAAAGACTGTTAGGAGGTTGGAGGACTGCTTTCAGAATATTAAGAAGATTGCAGTAATCCTGCATAGAAAGGGTTTCTCCATTTCCCTGGAGAAACAGTATGTGTTTGTTGCCCTGTAAGAAACACTGTCAGCAGCTGCAGGGGCTCTGCATCTGCAGGCTCACTGCCTTCATATGGAGGGCTTCAGCACAGCTACCCACACTGTAGTTCCTCTGCTCACATGTACAAGCAGTCTATTATCAGCTGTGCTTGCTATATCAGGCTTCCCTGGGCATATTCCTTGCTTTGCCTACGTGGTCAAATAGCTGCCGTACAAAACCCACAGTCAGGCTTTAATAAATGCATGAGGTGTACTTTCCTTCTTGGGGGAGGAACTTGCTTCGGTGAGAATGTCAGACGTGCTCAGGCTGTTTTTAGAACCAACAGCTGTAAGTGCCAGAACTTCCTGACATCTTCTGTATATCACTATGTATGAAGGGAACTATACAGCCAGGGCAGACTCTAAAAGGACAGAAACAAACTAGAAATGTCAGTGCACAGCTGCCTTCTGAGAGGCCGAGTCTGTCCCAGCAATACTGTGCAACCAGTGAGATACGTTATTTGAGTTGTGTCCCAAAGGAATACAGTTTAGTGCTGGGGGAGAAAAAGCAGAAAAAAAAAGGACAACATCTGTATTCCAACAAGTGCCCATAAAGCTGGAAGAAGGCAGAAGACACCTTACTCTTCTTCTTTTTTTTTTTTTTTTTAAATAAGTTGTCAGCTTATGCTCTGAAGTCTAGGATTGCTTACTTGGGGAAAAGACGATGCTTTCATGTCAAGAATGCGTATTTTGCTCCACTTAGGAAAAGCAGCTCAAATTCTAACACAGTTCTGTAAGCCTTAGAGAGGAAAAAAATCTGATGGTCTATGGTCTGTTACAAGTATTGCCTTAAGCTCTTCAGAGTTCATGAAAGCAGACTTTACTTGCCAACCTTGCTCCTCAAGTCTCCTGCCTCATACTGGCACAGCAAATGGAAGCTGGAACCTCACTTTATTCTCCTTTTTGCCTTAGGGTAACATAGATACCAGTCAGCTGCCTGGTTTGAGCATGGAGGGACAAGAGCCTGATATGTTGTTGTTGTTGAGAGTACAGGTAGGAATGGGACAAGGAGAAGTGGAAGAGAAAATTGAGAATAAAAATGATGGTAGTTTAAGAGTGATTACTGGAAACAGAGACTACATAGTTAAGAACACACATTTAGGAAATATGGAAAGAAAGAAAACAGTGGAATTGCCAAAGAGAAATGGCATTTACTGGGGAGGATAGAATAGTTCAAATCAGATGAAAAAAACAGAAGACTGTAACAAAAAAACAAAAACAAAAACGAAAGTGAAGAAAATGTGAAAGAGGTTAAAACCTGGCAATCAACTTTGGCTCTCGGTATACTAAATTGATGAGAGGAGGAAATCCAGGCGTTAAGTCTTGCAAAGGAGGGATAGGAAGTGGGTTTGAATGTATGAAAACAGGAAGCCTGGAGGAAGAGTGAAGATATGTGACTAGAAACTGAATCATAGAATCACAGAGTGGTTTGGGTTAGAAGGGACCTCAAAGATCATCTCGTCCCAACCCCCGCCATGGGCAGGGCTGCCCCCCACCAGCTCAGGCTGCCCAAAGCCCCATCCAACCTGCCTCCAGTGGGCAGCTGTGCCAGTGCCTCACCACCCTTTGTGAAAAGAATTTCCATGACATCTAATGTAAACCTCCTCTTTTTTAGTTTAAAACCAGTATATGCTCTTAACTTGTCACCCAGTCCTGTGTTCCATTGAGACAACCTCCTCATGTGAAATGCTGTTTTGTTATGTTTTGCCAGATTGCTGTATCTTGAGTATACAAGACGCAGATCATTATCAACTTGAATCACTGTTCTGACCTTACACTCCAAGGATATGCACCAGTTTATAAAATTAGAAAATACCTCCATTTATAGATCATGGAGATATAAGCCTCAGCCTTTACTGCACTGGAATGTAAGCTGTTCTGTAGCACTAATTAAACCTTTAGAAACACTGAACTTTTTCTTTGCAGTAAATTCAACTCTTTTAAGACAAACACCTCAAATACTCATCTGAGAAATAATTCATACAAGTGTCAGTAGTTAGTACAAAGGGAAAAACATGAGATTTTTGTGGAGATTATTTTGTATCCTGTTGTCAAACATTAAGTACTGCAAACAAATCAGAATCTTTTAAGTAGTAAAGCCAGCCTAGAGCAATCTCTGTGTTTTGCAACTGGAGTGATGACAGAGAAAGGAATAGAATGTTCCTTCATTCACCACTAGATAACATGAGGAAATATAATTTAATATTTCTGAGAAATAATCTTTCTATTTCAGACTCGATTTAAAGCTGTCCACTAAGAAGAACAAGAGGCATCAGGCATGATTTCTCCTTGTGACATGATCTTTGACTGAACCCACGATGGTCAGTAATGACAAATGGCCAGAGGAAGATGAAGCTCCCAGGCATTTTATCAACTCCTATCTCAGCAGCGTCCTGATGTATTGCAGCACTTGCTAGCCAACACATCTTTTATTCTTTGGCAGTTCTCTGAAGGGTTGTGTCAATAACATACAATTGCACTCACTTCAAAATCTGTTGGCAAGCCGTGTGGCCTGTCAGTGCAGCAAGCAGTGGGCCATTGCAGAGTGGTTTGGGTGGCTGTGAATGGTGTTGCTGGCTTCACAGCACCTTCTGGGTGCCTGAGGAGCTGTGGGACAGGTGGGACATACTATGTTCAAACTTGGGCCCCTCACTATGAGAAAAGCATTGAGGCCCTGGAGTGTGTCCAGAGAAGGGCAGTGAAGCTGTGAGGTATCTAGAGGACAAGTGTGATGGGGAGTGGCTGAGGCAACTGGGATTGTTCAGTCTGGAGAAGAGGAAGCTCAAGGGAGACATTATTACTCTCTACCACCAGCTGAAAGGAGATTGTGGCAAGGTAGGCGTTGGCCTCTTCTCCCAGATAACAGTGTTTGGACAAGAGGGAATGGCTTCAAGTTTTGCTAGGGGAGGTTCAGATTGGACATTAGGAAGCATTTCTTCTCAGGAGTGTTGAGGCAGTGGCACAGGCTGCCCAGGGAGGTGGTGCAGTCACCATCCCCGGGGGTGTTCAAGAGTCATGTGGATGTGGCACTGAGGGACGTGGGCAGTGGGCATGGTGGGGGTAGGTTGGTGGCCGGACTAGGTGATCTTAAGAGGTCTTTTCTAACCTAATGATCCTATGATTCTATGACGTGTGCACTGTCCTTGCCATGGCAGTGCGCTGGTGAAGCGTCAAGCCTTGTGCTTTGTGGAGTGCTGATCGCAAATGGTGGCTGGCAGGTGGAAATGTAAAGGGCAGAGTGGCTGACACCTGCGTGCTGGCCAGTGTTTGGCAGAGCGATGGGTGCTGGAAGCGTTCATGAGACACCGAGCGCCTTGTGCTACACAGTGAAGCAATGAAGGTGGCTAGAACAAGGGGTACAGAGCCATGGGCAGCTTGCGCTGCTGGAGAAGGGGCTGTGGGCTCAGCGTGCGGCCGAAGCGTGTGACAACACTGCAGGAGGAGTGGGTGACCGGGTGACACTGGGCTGGCGAGAACCTGCGGGCGTCACCCGGCGCTGACAGCCGCGCACAGCAGACCACCGCCGGAGCCGCCATTTCGGCCGCGCCGCGAGAGGCGGCCCTTAGGCGTCCGCACCGATCGCCTGACAACCGCGGCTCAGCGCGGCCACAGACCCCCGGCTCTCCCCGCCTCCCTCCCCCGAGCAGGGTGACAGGAGGGGCGGGCGAGCGCGTGACGCCGGCGCCCCGCCTCCCGCTGCCGCTTCTGCTGCTCCCGGCGCCGCCGCCGTGTCGGCCCAGCGTGGGCTGGCGGCGGAGCTGCAGTCATGGAGCCGGAGCGCGAGTGCCGGGTGCTGTCCATCCAGAGCCACGTCGTACGCGGCTACGTGGGCAACAAGGCGGCCACCTTTCCCCTGCAGGTGGGTGAGCGCTGCTCGGTGCGGGAGGCTGCGGGTCGGCCTCGTCCTGTCGCGGGCGGTGGGTAAGGTCGGGGAGACGGTCGAGCTCCTCGCCGCGGAGCGAAGGAGAGGGGCCGGCGGGTGCCGCTGGCGGGCGGCTGCGGGAGCACCGGCGCGGCGTGCAGGGCGCCAGTGTGGGGTCCCGCGCTGAGACCTGTGCTGGCCGGGGGGTGCGCCCCGCGGTGGTGGAGTTTGGCAAAGCTTCGCCCTGCGGGTAGTGGAAGGGCCCCTGAGGCAGTGCGTGAGGCTTGTGTGGGTGTAAGTGAATCTTGTCCTTCCATGACCGTCAGGTGCCGACTTCCTGCTAAGGTCTGGTGGCTGTTGGTGTGCGCTGGGGTGAGCTTTGGTGCGTGGCTTGTGAAATGCCTTCATGATACAATCTGGCTGCTTACCATAAAGAGACCCTTGCAATGATGGGGTTGCACAAAACTTCCAGTTTAAGAATCTCATTGCCATAGCGCAGTGTTGTGACATGGGTTGTCTGTGCTTTATAAAGGCACTTGACTACACACCGGAGATGGTCTGTGCTGATAAATGGTGTGCTTGAGACCAGGCCTGCAACGGGCCACGCATCATGGAATCACAGAATGGTTTGGGTTGGAAGAGAGCTCAAAGCTTTCAACCCCTGCTGTGGGCAGGGCTGCCCCCCACCAGCTCAGCTGCCCAGGGCCCCATCCAACCTCCAGGGATGGAGCACCGCAGCTTCTGTGGGCAGCTGTGCCAGCACCTCGCCCCCTCCAGGAAAGAATTTCCCTCTGACATCTAACACTTTTAGTTTAAAGTAATTCCCCCAATCCTATTACAGTATACCCATGTAAAAAGTTGATTTCCCTCAGGTTTGTAATCTCTCTTCATGTACTAGAAGGCCCAGTGAAGTCTCCAGTGAGCCCTTTCTTCTCTAGGGCTGAACAAGCCTATCTCCATCAGCCTGTTTTTGTAGAAGAGGTGCTGTAGCCCTCTGATTATCTTCATGGCCTCCTCTAACCTGTTCCGGCAGCTCCACTCCTTCTTGTGCTGGGGGCCCCAGGCCTGGATGTAGTACTCCAGGTGGGGTGTCACAAAAGCAGGGCAGAGGGGGACAGTAGCTCCGCTTGTCTGCTGGCCACCCCTCTACAGCCCCCTAGCAGCAGCAGCAGCCAGCTAAGATGTAAACATATCTTCTGAAAATTAATACATGGTTGAGGTGATGTACACAGGAAATCAACATCTAGTAGAAAAAACTGTGTATGTGGAGACCCATACCTGAAAGGCTGTCATGATTTCCAGACCAGCTGTCCGTCCATCTTTTCCCAATGAATAATCTCTAAATTGTGCTCCCATCCTCTCCCCAGGCCTTTTTTGTGATAGCAGAAAGCTTTGAAGTAATCTTTGTTTCAGAAATGACAAGGCTTTTCAATTGTCTTCTTTTCAATTTTGGTTTAGAGGATCTCTTTACTCATCTGTTACTCAGACTTCCTCTGGTGTATGAGCCTGTGTATGACTTGACAAGTTGGTCCTTGAAAGTGTCTTTTTTGCTTCTGGACTATGATACAGTTAAATACTATGGTAGTTAAAAAGTGACTTAGAGCTGGTTCTGCATGGGAGATGGTCAGAATTACGCTCTGTTGCTCCTCAGTGTGTAGCACAGATAGAATTTGCTAGGGTGGAGGAAAAAAACAGCTCTCCTATCTCTACAGGCTGCACTTGGAAATTTGTACGTTGGCAGCCTCTAATTAAGTTGTGCTTACTAGGAAGTTATTTTCACCTTGGTATTGGTGGACGAGCAGAAGTAGCAAGTTTCCAACAAGTGGAACTTCATTTCCTTTTCCAGGCTGCATGGGGCTGTGGGCATGGCCACCATTGCTGGAGTTCAAGGAGCATCTGGACACCGCTCTCAGTCATAGGGTTTGGATTTTGGGTGGTCCTGTGTGGAGTCTGGAGTTGGACTCTGATCCTTGTAGTGTCCTTTCAACTCAGAGTATTCTATAGCTCTGTAACTTTCTAGAGAAGCAAAGTCTACTCAGCTATGCTCTGAATTATTGTATCAAAAGATTCAATAGCTTTTGCTTGCATGATTTTATTTACCTTTAAAATTTCTGAAGGTGATTCTAAGTTACTCTTAAAATAGTCCTAAGTTATTTCCCAGTTGTGTAACCTGAATAGCTTTGATATCAGGAAAAGCTTTAGGTTTGTCCAGTATTTACGAATAGTGGTAAAATGAATGTTAGGGAGTTGCTATTGTTAGGTGACTTGTTTTAATCCAAGAATGTGTCTCCTACTTGACTTGTCATAGTTTTCATGGTATGAAATAAAAATAGACATATTCATTACAACACACAACATTCAACATTATGTTACTGTCAGTGTTTTCTTCCCCAGAGGGATCTCTTTTTCGTTAATTTTAAATATCATTTTGACTCCCCTTTCCTACTTGACCTTCCAGGTAGGAAAGAATGTGGGTAAGTATGGCAATAAGCAGAGGCTGCGATGCTGGCAAGCAGAGAGTGAGAGGCCTCCACAAACCACAGAGTGAATTCACAGAGATGAACGTGTTTCTGTTCTATGGAGGTACTTCATCCTGGTCACCAGGAACATCTCTGTAGGTGGATTTGAGATTTATACAGGGCACCCATCAGAAAATCAGCACTTGTGAGTGAGTATTTCAGGCTATATGTTCAGTCCTTTGTGCTGCTGTGAGTTTCCAAATAAGTTTGAAAGAGCAAGGAAAAGACAAGGGAAGATCTCAGCTGGTTTGGCGTGGGCAGTGGACATGCACGTTTGGTCCACTGGGCTAAGTAATACTGTCTGCAAGCCAGAGGCTGCAGATTTTTGTTCATGTGTAAGTAACTATCACAGCCAAATCTTGTACTTTGTTTTCTTACTCTGTGTTTGATAATGCTAATGGAACATAATGGTGAGTTTGTTTGTTTGCTTGCTTTTGATCTGCCTTGATGCTCACAGAATATGGGACAATGTTGTCTCTGTTATGATTTAGTTCTTGACTTCCTTTTCCATATCTGTTTACCTTGGAGATGGAACTAAAAGCATGGAGAAATACCATGTGTTGTTTGGCTCTGGCATCTGAAATTGTTTTCCCTGCATTGTATGATGCCACCAAAACAGCTCCTCCAGTACAGAATAAAAAAGCCTTTGGTTTGGTGGTTTCTGTTTCTCTTTTTAAAATTCATTTATGAAGAATGAAAATAGCTGTCTGTTTGGGTGTTAATAAAGACAGGTGATTCTCATGCTTCTTAGATTGGTCCTCAGTGATTTTCCTCCACAGACAGTAGGCCTGTGGTTTTAGTTCCTTCTTTATTGTAAGAAGAAATGGTAAAACAACTTTGGCCAACATAGCTGGTGATTTCTATAGTATTTAAGGATAGTCTCCAACTGCATTGTTCAGACACAGATAGAATTTGCTTGCATGTGGTGAGATCAAAATCACTGTAAACCCATTCCTAATGATTATCTGGTGCCATAGCAAAGAGAAGTTTCAGGCTTTTATTTTTTTTTCCTATCTTTTGTTTTGAACAATGTAGTCAAATGTGCCAAGTATTGTACAGGGAAAGAGTAGGAATAGGAGTATTTCTTATTTAAGATGACTGCTTGTTCTGCTTTTCAAAAATTACTTCTATGGCATCAATTATATGAGTCAGAAGAAGGATGAATCAATCAAAGGCCTTTACGGAATAACAATAGGAAATGTATTTACTGGCCAACCCCTGTTTTTGTTGTAGATCAAAGGCTGAAAAAATGAACTCTTCAAAATAATTGCAAAGAGAAAAGAATACATTTTCTGTTTGTAATGTCCAAAGATTGTCCTTAATGGTTCATCTGAAGCAAGAATTGGGGCTTTACATTCATGTTATGGCCCCTCACTACAAGAAAGACATTGAGGCCCTGAAGTGTGCTCAGAGAAGGGCAGTGAAGCTGTGAAGGATCTGGAGCACAAGTCTGATGGGGTGCAGTTGAGGAAACTAGGATTGTTCAGTCTGGAGAAGTGGGACTCAAGGGAGAACTTACTGCTCTTTACAATCACCCAAAAATAGCTGGGCATGGTGTGATGGGCTGATGGTTAAACTAGGTGATCTTAGAGGGCTTTTCAACCTTAGTGATTCTGTGATGCTAATACAATAGAATGATATGCACTAGAAAAACAAATGACATACAAAGCTACTTCTCTAAAATTTCCCTTGTAATGAATTGTCTCTTTTTATGTTTTATATTTACATCCCAAAATACTGATGATCTTTTCTTGAGGAGCTTCCAACTATATAAGGTTATTGATGTGCATAACACTTGAAGTGCACCAGGAGGATTCACTTGATGGATGATGCGTGCCCCTGCAGAAGCCAGACTAGCACATCATCTTGTAGCTTGGCAGCAGTGGCATAACTTGTGATAGCAGGTGTTCCTGAGCTGAAATTTGGCTGAACTACTTGATGTTTTTCAGATGTCTGTTCAGGACTTTGTATTTGTTGGTGCTAATTCGTCCATGTCTCCGAGCTCCAGTTCTTTAACATCTGCAACAATTAAAAATAGAGCAGGAGACACAATTTAGTTACAACCTCTAACATGAATCATTTTAAAAAACAACTTTCTTCTGGCACTTCTTGCCAGAGGAATGTGTTGGCTTCAGTTAGTGATAGAGCACTTGCTGAAAAATGGTAGAGCCTGCCCTGTGGCACAATGAAAGCCAGAGGTGCAGTTTCTGAGCTGTAGATACAGTGATTTCTGAAAGCAGAAGTGAATGATTTTTCTGGTTGGTGGAACCCTTCCAGTCTGATTGCTATTGTTCCCCTTTTCTCCTGTAGGACCAGTAGTACCTCTCAGAAGGGGATATGGGATGGAAGTCTCAACCAAGAATGACATAGCCGTTATCTTTGCTCTGATGCTTGCCTTAAACGTTCTATTGTTTGTTAACTTATTTGTTTGGAATTAACACTGAATCACTGGTTTTCTTCCTGAATCTTACAGTGCTT